TTCTATAAGATAACTGTGTAAAAAACCACCGACCACCATGAAAGGAATAAATGCAAGAGCAACTAAACTTAATTTCCAACCGAAGATAAATGAAATAATCATTCCAACGCCTAAATTAGCGAAAATTGAAAAGACTGTCCCAATACGTGCTCCAGCGGCCTATATCAGAACAATTCTCTGCTTATGAAAAATATCATTTTCATTTATTCGAGTACGCACTCCTTGAATCATCGTTGCATCGTTTGACAGACGTGTGCAAAGAGCACCAGTATTATTATTTGGATGATCGAACCATGCTATTTCTTGTCGTAGAATAGCACGAAATGCTTTAGCTCGTAGACGTTTAGTTAACGCTTCACCCGAGCAAGCAAAAATAAAATTCTGTACAAAACAAAATGTATTGATTATCTATTTCTCATTCAATGTGTTCTATCGAATACCTGAGTAAACATGGTAATGAAAATGACAACAGCTAGTACCATGGATAAAATAACGTAGAGTTGTATCTTGTTGTTTTGTACTTGAACATCGCATTCTTGATAGACCTAATATTGAGCAAGACTAATGAATGATTTCATTAATATGAATTATCATACTCCAATTATTTCACTGAGTAAAATAGAAGATGCTGGTTCAAGACCACCATTGAAAATAGATGTAAAAGCACCAATAATGATTAGAAGTAATTCTGGTCGATTCAATTTCAGTATAGCTAAGAAAGGCGAATGCTAATAATAATAAAATCAAGAAGAATTTAAAGTAAATAAAAGTTGATAGATTCTCATACTGTTTTCTTTTTGAAGCTGGTTTTGTTTTTCTTTCCGTCATTTCGAAGAACACTCATTTCATCGTCAGAGTTTGAGTTATTAGAATCTTCTAAATAAGAAAACAACAAGTATGCGCAAAATTTCTAAAAAGAATTTTATCTCACCAAGAAATGGTGTCAACTCTGATAACTGCTGTTGATAATCATTATCATCAAGCGGTTCTTCGAATTCTTGACTTCTCACAAGATTATAATAGTTCGATTGACGTTTCATCAGTGTTTCATGATTACCTTCTTCGATGACCATACCCTTATCGATTACAACGATCTTATCCGCATGACGTACAGTAGACAGGCGATGAGCAATAATGATGGTAGTTCTATCTATCATAACATGGACAACACAATCATCAGACTATAATTCACATGGAAATAGATAAAGCGAAACTATTTGTAGATTGGCGCGCCTAGTAAAAAATGCAGTCGACCTAGAAGACGATTCCCTAGTCAACTTACTTGTTTCAAGTACTCGAAACAAGTAAATCGACTAGGAATTGCTTACGTCGTCACACATTTATTTTTTGCATCCGATTCAGCTGTGCCGATTCCTCTCCCGTTTTACGTGCAGACCTCACTCAAAATATTGGTACAGATACTTCACCAGTCATAGAAGCGAAAAGTGAATAATTTTCTTTCTACTTTGCATTTTTGGAATCAAACTACCTTTACATTCGACGAGAACATGAATAAAAAATAATACCTTTCGATGCTTTTTCCAGTGCTTGTTGAACTGTCTTTTCACTTTGATTATCAAGTGCACTAGATGCTTCATCCAATAGTAATAATATTGGCTTTCTTACTAGTGCTCGAGCAATAACAATTCGCTGTCGTTCACCACCTGACAATTGTGCACCACGTTCACCGACTATCGTGTCATATTTCTGCAACCAACAAACACCCGAAAAATCAAATTCTGACAAAATAATTGTAAAATACTTGAAATTTTATCTTATCACCCTATTCTATTTACACTCAACCCTCGAGAACAGTTCGTGCTGAGCTAGATTAATATTTACGAATGACCAACTGTTTAAATCTATTAGATAAATCAATAAAATGAGAATAATACCGAATGCAAAAAATCCATCTTATTATGAGCTTTTTTTGAGTTCTAACTGACCATTTTAATCGAGGAAATTTTCAAGTGAAAAGTAATATAACATTTTGCAAGCTTCTCTTATTTATCTCACATGTAGAATAATCAAAGACGATTAGAAATTTTTCAAAACTCGATGATTTCAGAGTGAAAAATGGGTCTTCTAAACATTCCAAATAATAGCATACATCGGGTAAAGACATGATGAAATTGTGTGCATTAGCTGCCATGGCCGCTTCTTGAATATCGGCAAAAGTTGCATTTGACTGACCATACTGAATATTTTTCAAAATTGTTGTTGAAAAAAGTACCTAAAAAGAAAAGAAAATTCTGAATCATCTCAATATTAAGTTTAGAATTGATAATTACTGGTTCTTGATTTACAACACCTATTTTTTGACGTAGTAGTTGTAAATCAAAATACTCGATAGGTTGATCATCAAGCAATATTTGTCCACTAGTTGGTTTATAAAATTGTTGTAATAGCTGCATACATGTAGATTTTCCTAAGTAATACGCAAATAGTGTCGAAAGTGGAGAAATATCATACTTTATACCACAGCCACTTGTGCCTACTAAGGCTAAAGTTTGACCAGGTGTTGCTTCGAAACTCAAACCATGAAGAACAGGTACATCTGATCTTGATGGATAAGAAAAAAATATATTATCGAACTTCACATTGCCAAGAAAATTCACATTCGATATTTTTTCATCAGAAGTCCGTGTGTTTTCCTCATCCTAGAAACTAATGGGAGTAATTTAAAATTGACACTTATTCATCTTACTGAAGAAAATATATCCCATACAGAAGCAGCTGCAACTTTGGCTTCATTGATCGATTCACGATACGGTGCACTTTGTCCAAGTGAAAACATACCAATAAGAACAGCAAAGAATACCTAGTAGTATGCGTAAAAATAATCCGATCAACGACATCTACAACGATCCTTCGATATATATACTCACAAAAATAACATTTGCAATATCATAACTTTCATTTTGAATCAAATGATTTCCATACCAAAAGGCAAGTGCATGAGAACCAAACAAACAAAATACATAGAACCGAAAAGTATCCCAGAGATTGCTCCTTTCTTTATGCCTTGTTTTCGAGCAGTTTCAATATGTTTTTTGTATCTTAATTGAGAGAAAAATAGTCAATAGAATATAGAATTATATATATATATATATCACCTAGCTTGTTCATGTTCAATACCGTTGAAAGCAAAGACCAGCCGTACGTTACTAAATACTTCTTCAGCAATAGCTCCAGCACGTTCATATGCTTTCAATTCTTGTACGAATAATTTTCCGAAAATCTGAAAGTTGAAGGGCAAAAAACTCTAATGTGATATGTGAAAAAATATACTTTTGATGCAATAATTGATACAAGCCAAATGAGAGGTGCCAATGAGAGAATGACTAAGGTCATTTTCCATCCACGAAAGAATGCAAGCACTAGACTAATAACAAATTTGGCACTCAATTGTACCAGCAAGCCCAATTTGTTACCAATACCATCATGTATTTTATCAATATTACTTAAAAACAAATGTACAAATTATGCTATTCGATAGTTGGGATAGTACCAATTAAGAATTGTTGTTAATTCACCAGTTGTGTGTGTATCAAAATAGGAAATACTCTTTTTTAATAGAACACGAAAGGCTTGTTCTCGTAGTCGTCTCGTTTGATGCTCACACGTCAAAGAACACAAACTTGTTTGAAAAAATGCAAGTACGAACGAAACGCAACCGATGACTGTAAAAAAAAAGATAAGTAATGATTCGACTAAGTCTTCTGATTGTTAATTACAAACCGATTAAACATAAAGATTGATAATGAAGCTGTTGTCGAAACGTGGTTGTCACAATAGCCTTGTTTATTGCTTCACTTAAATTACATTTGCTGAAAGATTGTACACATATAACAATTAAATAATTTGATATAAATAATGAGTTACCTTGATTCTTGAATATAGTTAGTTGATGTCAATAGAATTCCCGGTTCACAATATTGTATACTGAGTGCAGTATAATTGAGTTTACATAAATTGGTCGGCTGATTAGAGAACGTTCCGATTATGCCTGCCAAGAAGAACAGCATTAGAGGTCCAACGGCTCCATTACCGGATGCAGCCACAAGACCGAGTATCAATAATGCGATATCTAGTCTATTGGCAAAACGAAACTAAAATAAATAGCGAATATAGATTTATTTTCGTCTCAATCAAGTACAGATTTTACCAAATTAAAGAATGAAACTTGTTTCAATTTCGTCTTTTTTTCCCTGAATTCATTACTCTTTGATTGTTGATGATCCCTGAAATATTCATATAGAAGAGAAAAGTTACGAAGAACTAACTTTACTTACTGATCAGAAGAAGTCAACGAAAATTCATTTTGATTGCAATGATCCTCATTCGTCATCTATAATAAATTAATGGATCGAATCGATCGAAATAAACATCATATAGATTTTCATTTTTTTATTTAATAAAAATGTCACAACAATTAAATTTTCATATGAATGTTCTCAAAAAAATCAAGCTGGGATTTGTTTCTTCCAACAAATATCCCCTAGGTTGTTTGATGAATTATCGATAAAGTAGTATCATTGTAAACAAATGACTCTTCTTATACTTGAGTTCTTTATCATATAACCTTTTAGTTCCTTTCTCGGATCGATGAAATTTCTCTATCATTCGTCAGATGACTTTTGAATCCGTGATAACATAGAAAAAGAAAATGAAAATAAAAACTACAACGAAAGAGAAGAATTGAAAAAATTACATACAAACAATAAGATAGTGAGCGAATAAGAGCATAGAAATGATGAAGTTAATCGACACATAGATCTATATCGCGATTAAAATCCAATTTTCATGTCTCGAGTGAAAGAGCATATGTTAATAAACATTTTCTATAACGTAATTCTTAATAGTTCTAGATCCACATTTCCACTCAACCAAAGATACAAACGAGAGAAAATTCGCTTTTTT